CCTTCTTTCTTCATTCTTTCTTCTTCAGTTTCTGGTTTCCATTTGTAATTTTCTTTTGGAGCTGTTCGTCTTCAATCTTCTCCGTCCAATTTTGTTTAGGTCAATTATTGTTGTTGTTGGCGACACACAGACAAGGTATCCAGGTAGAGAGATACAGAGAGAGACTTTTTCTTCTTTGCAGGTCGGCCGTCCATTTGCTTCCTCCCTCTCCAGATCAAGTGAGATTTTCATTTCTCTCTCTTCTTTTCCTTTCTGGTTGTTTGTTTTGTTTCTATCAATTGCAACTCAGATCCGAGTGAGTGATTGTTTATGTTATCCCCCTTCCTCTTCCCTTTTCCCTTTTTGTTCTGATCTAATAAGTGTACCGTGAATTTAAAGAATCCTTTCAGCTTTATCCTGTTTAGATAATGTTTTATTAGATTTGATACTGGTATTGTTATTTTTAATTTCATTAAGTCAGTATGAGCTCTCAAGAATCGGTTTCATATACACTGGATCTGCACCTGACCCTGATGATCATTCCTGTATTTTCTGCCTACCCAACAACCAATTTCCCACATCCCAAATCTCTCATTTCCCCATCTGAAGCTGGGGTTGCTCCCTCCGCCTTCTTCCTGAACAACAACCTTTTGAGAAATTATTCTCTGGCAACCGGATTTGAGAGTTACAGAAGGCAACCCATTTGACCAATTTCTCGCCTTCTGCAGAACTGCGTTGAAGGACGTGTGAAAGTCGAGAGCTTTTGAAGTGAAAGCTGAAAGCAGCAATGGAAGTTTGTGGCAAACCCATGGTTACGGTACCCGGCAATGTCATTTACCTGTCCACCATTCTGGGGCGTGATGGGTCGGTTCCTGTTCACAAATGTGATTGGAAGTGTCGGAATGAGCACATCTGTGGTAACATGTACCTCTGCAAGCTAACTGGTCTCACTCACATCTGTGACAAGAATTGTAATCAGAGGATCTTGTACGATAACCATACTTCTCTCTGCCGGGCAAGTGGCAAGATGTTCCCTCTCTCGCCTTCTGAGGAGCAGGCCGTCAGAGGAGTCCGGAGGAAGATCGATGCTGAGACCTCTCCTCCAGATACCTGTGCTTTTAAGCGCAGGAGGGAGGCTTTCCATCCTTCACCCTTCAAGAGAGCTTTTGCTGCTGCTGTCCCCAGTCCAATCTGCAGTCAAGTCGGAGATGGCATGGATTTGAGCTAGATGTTATCTGTCAAATAACTGAAGTGACTCTTTGCTCCTTACGCTTATTATGTCTCTTTACTTCTATTGCCTTTTTCTTTTTCTCTTCCCCCCCTTTACTTTCTTACTTTATCCTGTGGACTGAGTATCGATTACTAAGCTTAATGCGGGGACTTCAATGGTGGACTTGATGTGTCCTCCTTGCTGTAGGAACTCTATTTCAGATTATGTTTAATGCAATTTAGCACTTCTTAAGCGTAGATTATCTTATGGAGGATTCATTATGAATAAAGCTGAGTTTAGTTTCATGAGTCTTATGTTTGAGTCTAACTGTAGTGATTGATGGATCCGTTTTGGTTGGCGTGAACCTATTATGGTGTCTTTTCCCGCTTTGTAATTCCTTTTCATAGTTACATAGAGTGTTTTTCTGTGTGTGTGGCTGTTTCTAGCTTCTTTAGTGGATTATCACATATATGTAACACTTGATGGAGGCATCTCTTAATATGTGTCGATTAACTTCAGATTCAATTGACTTAGTGTGTAGTCTGGCTTTTGGTTTCATATGATAAAGGCTATGTCAGGTTCTTCAAATGAAAGGCCAGTATCATAATGATCTGGTAGAAGTTTGAATTTTTCCTTGTGATATTTCCACTGATTTATGCAGGGCTTGAAAGGCTAACTTGCTTCATTTCGTATGTATTATTGTTTAATTACTTTGTCTAACTTGGTTTTGTGCATGTTTTTTTTTTTTGTTTTTGAAGTAAATTTCAATTTTGCAGGGGTTCTAAGTGTGCAATTCCCAAGTTTTCATTTGCTCACTGTGTTTCATTATGTTTCTTATAATAAAAAGCTGATATCCATCCCACTGTTTTATATCTGTCCATCTCATTTGGTTTTTTCTTTCTGTGCAGAGGAGAGCATCAGAATGACAGAATGTGCTACTGGAAGGGCAAGGCTGAGGAAAGTATATGTTCTTTGATTCATCTTGCTGCTATTTGGGTGCTGCAGCAACTGAAACCTTGGAATATTCCTTCTGGTTGGTTAAAATCTGCATCTTACCTTGCTATCTATGCTTGTGCAGAGAGATTTTCTGGGGTTTTAATCATTTTTAAGCAGGTACAATTATTCTGCTTTACAAACCAAGTGGTTGGCATCTCAGCTGAATGGGGCCAGCGATACTCAGATATTTACTCTTCTCTTACCCTTACTTCAGCATCCATATTTTCTGTGTTATGGTAGGGAAAGGGTGGTTTATCAGGTTATTAATAATTAAGTGGCTTCAACTCAATACAATTTCATGGAAGGATTGGAGTGGAGTTGTGAAATGAGCAATCAACCTTTGTTCTGTTGTTGTTTCAGCTTGCCAGACTGGAAATGGGAAATGAATGTTTGTTTCTTATTGAAATGCATCTTTTCCAGCTGAAATACTCAATCCCATATGTTGAGCATTTGAGAGTTGAGTAACACGGATATAACTCTATGGTGGAACTGGTGTTGGTGATTCACTACTGAAAGGAGGATGGTGATCTTTCCACCAAAAAAAAAAAAAGAAGAAAAAGAGAAGACGGTGGTGAAGGTTATTGTTACAGCTATGAGCTGCCTTGTTGCATTTGGCAGATAGACCAGTCTTTAAACTGGCAGTGATGCTGTCAGAGAAATCTGTTTCAGAGGTAATGACGATTCATTGGAGGCGCATTTTTGGAGCCAGGTCAGGGAATCTGCTTTTAACTTTTGGCATGATTGTGGGGCTCAATTTTGTGTTCTTTCTTGCGCTTGTTAGTGGAAGCTATTAATGGTTTGGCTTATTCAAACTAGGTTGGCCGAAAGAAAGGGCTGGTTTGTATCCTATTCATCGTGCATAAAGTACGGTTGCAGTTGACTGATCGTACTCCAGAAGATCCCTTTGAACTTGGAGCTCCGAAGGATAGGATGATGTGGTTTGGCCTGGAAGTCTACAAGTGCCTACTTTATGGTCTGGTCACACTATAGGAACTGGCTGGTCTGAAGTTCCCAGGTCTTAGTGGTGTCCCTGCTAGTATAGTTTGCAATCGGCGTGTGCATGCCACTTTGGTGATCAACAAGATGAGAACTCTTAGTGCTTTTTGTTTACTCTCAAGCGAGCTGGTGTTGCATTTTTTAATTGACAGACAACATTCTGATTCATCAATTTTTGAGTCTTGTTACAAGGTTTGATCCTACTTCTCTCCCTTGGTTCCAAGTCGCTGAGATGCGCCAAGCAGAGCTGTGATCTGATCGTTTTATGTTCTGCTAACAGGAAGGATCATATCTACTGTTGGTTGTCGACCCAAGTTTTCCATTTGAGGATAGGGTGGATTGTTGGTGCTGTGGAAGAGTTTGACTGCTGGGCTGCTGGCTGCTAGGTGAATGTCCCTTCAGTGAGGTAGGGTACTGGATAGCGAGAGAGCAGGAGCGGATCTTTAATAGGATCTTGACACATTCAATAAATTAGGCAGAGGAATCGTTTTGCTTTAGTTTGTTTGTCTGTTTGTGTAGTGTGTTATCCAGGCAGGAAGGATCATGTGAGAACGATGACTGGATTATGAGAGAACGATGTTGATTATGAATGATGGAAAGTGCGCTACCCAGAAGCCAGAAATGGATGGGCTCATCTCATAGGCATTATTAACAAACTCATCACTCACACACTATTCAGCCAATCTACTGTACCAGACCACATAATCATGGCCACAAAGGCCATTCACATAGCTCATATTAACCAGTTAGTTTCAAGGATAAAAAAATCGCATCGTACCGATGGTTCGACCAGAAAAATAACATATCGCTAACTTTTTCGTTACCTTCGATACGGTATTCTGATCCTTGGTTATTTTTATTTTATTTTTCATATTCATTTGATTTCGTGTAACCGAAAGAGTGGACCTACGTGCAAGTCGAAAAAATGCATCCTTTTTCATCAACAATTTTGATGGATTTCACTGCAATTCGAGACAAATAACTTGTCTATATCATAAAGCAGAGTTTGCGTCGGTGGCAAAGCCATGTTGAGTTCACGATAGCACCTCAACTCTCATGTGTTTGGTAAATTTATGTGTAAAATATATAACAAATTTCGAAAATATATTATTTGTGAAGACTCTAACTTTCTATTGCAACTCTCATGTGTTTGGTAAATTTATGTGTAAAATATATAACAAATTTCGAAAATATATTATTTGTTAAGACTCTAACTTTCTTTCAATAGTAAGACTTTTTCGTTCTGATTTTTTATTTGACCACTTATTTGTCTTCTCGTCACTTTGTTAGTCTCGAGGGTACAACATATGAACTTGAACCACGGGTTATAAATTTGTCACAAAGTTTAAAACTTTAGATATAGAAATGTATTTTGTTAAAAACAATAGAAAATTATCTAGGTTGTTTACTACGAAACCGTTGGAGCTACATTTTAAAGCATATAAGGGTTATGGTCGATTTATGCGCATGATATATCACCCTCTGATATATAGCCCAGTTACTGGGAGTGAAAATAGAATCAGAAGAGCAGAACTTAATTTGATTTTCCTGAGCAAAACACTTACTGAAGAGAAACACAGCATGTTCATATCCATCGGCGACCCATGCTTCTCTGAAATGAAACATTCAGCACCCAAATGGGTGGGGGAATGAAGATGGTAGAAGCTCTTGGAAGAGGCGAATGGAACTGTCTGGAAAAGAAATTACGACCACTGTGTAGACCAAAGACAGAGAAGTCCTACAGTTTGTGGGTCGACTTCACGAGAAGGCTCTAGATATAAAACTAAAGGCAACACTTTTGCTAGCCTGTAAGGTGCTAGAGTTCTCTTATCTAATGCTATATATAGACCCCCGATCCCAAGCTTATATGATCAGACAAACCTTGTCTGAGTTCAGCAAAAAACATACTCTCGTCACTTACAACAGTTTTCCTAGAGTCTCCAACTATGTCGATCATTCCCAGCCTCCGAGGCAGCCGACTGACCAACGTTTTCGATCCATTCTCCCTGGACCTATGGGATCCCTTCGATGGGCTCATCAGCTCCACGGTGGCGAATCTGCCCCGTGAAACCTCTGCATTTGCCAATGCCAGGATCGACTGGAAAGAGACGCCCGAGGCTCACATCTTCAACGCCGATCTTCCCGGTGTGAAGAAGGAAGAGGTGAAAGTGGAAGTTGAAGATGGTAGGATCCTGCAGATCAGCGGGGAGAGGAGCAAAGAGCAGGAAGAGAAGAACGACAAGTGGCACCGCGTCGAGAGGAGCAGTGGCAAGTTCATGAGGAGGTTCAGGCTGCCTGAGAATGCCAAGTTGGATCAGGTGAAGGCTAGCTTGGAGAATGGCGTGCTCACTGTGACTGTTCCCAAACAGGAGGAGAAGAAGCCGGAGGTCAAGTCCATTGATATCTCTGGCTGAAGTGCATGCCCAAGCCGTCTGAAAGCTGAAGGATCATGTTGCTGCAACCTGCAAGAAATGCTACAATCACAGAATAATTAAGTTTCGGGTTTCTCGTTTGTGTCTGTGTGTGTCAGTGTGTGATGGTGTTGTGTTTGTGATTTCTGCAAGTGTGATCAATGGAACCCTCTCGGGTTCTGGTTAATAAAAGTTTTTACTAAACAATAATTCTCGCATATTATAACTATGTTTGATTTAGCTTTAGCATGATTTTTCTATCATTTACTATTGCCTACACTCGCAATAAAAATTTGAGTTATGAGCTCACCTGGATTTTCTGGACTTCGACCAAACCGCGAACAAATGCAGAATGCTAAAAGGAATAAGGAGGAAAGAAACGTGGAGATGTAACGCACATTAGAAGATTGCTGAAAGCCACGAGCATGAATCTGTCCATGCCCCTTCTGGAGATTAAGCACTTTGTATCAAGAGAGACCAAGCTGCTAACAGACTACTTAGCTGGACCCTTCTGCGTACTAGTCAGCCGAAAACGGTCAAATAATGTCATCTGCCAATTGCAAATATTTACAATGTACGCTGTGCTGTTGGAGAAATGGTAGGAGCTGAGAAATCTTGGGCATCTTGGCACATCTTGTCAAGTTTTCATCCCTAAGAACTCTCTCAGATTTGGAACAATGCCTTTATTGTAGGGATTCCTGAACCGCATCACCATTGTGCTTTCCCCTGGTAACACATGGATATGAAAATTATCTTCAGTAGCCATGGGAGCACAGGAATGCCAGGAATTTATCAAAGTTTAGTACCTGGTTCGGGCTCAGTACTGAAATGGAATTCTGGGTACTTCCTCCAGTTTATCTGAAAATTAAAAAACCTCAGATACATACCATAAAAAGGTGCCAGTAAAAAGACTTGCATATTCTAAGTTCTAACACATTATTGAAATATGAAGATGCGTGAAAATTACTAGTGGTTCTCTGTTTCTTCTATCCAAGGAAGGCCACTCACCCACTCATCAGTCCGAATGTTGAAACAAATGCAGTATATGTGCCACGTCAGAAAGAACACCTACAATCATAAAACTCTAATCACTACATGAAGTCACTGCAGCAAAGCAGAATCAAAATTCCACTAGAGAAGAATGGCAAATGACCTGCCATAGCACTTGCAGAAGAGAGAAGAGCATTGTACTCGTAACCAAACTTCTCGCTAGATCACTCTACAGTAACAAGGTGAAAGTATTTGGAGTCAGAAGCTCTGGATACTAGCAGCCACTGTTTGAAAAAGGTTACAATAGTAGCAGAACATGCATTGCCTGAACATAGGGATCTACCTGGAACTTGTGTTGGCGTAACACCCAGTATCCTCTAGCAACTGAAAAGACAGATACACAAGACTCAACTCAGGATTCCGTCACCCAAATGTGGAAAGAACAAGATACAAAAGCATTTCAAACAAGTTTTAGATGTTCACTAGTGGATATCACAACCATGTCAGAAGGACTATGGAACACATTCACAATACATTTCCAGGTTTCTATCTCTTTAAATCTGTAATTCCACCTACATCTGGTCGCAGGATATTTCACCATAATTGAGATAACGATCACATGATATTTGGGAGGAAAAATCAAATGCATACCCTGAAAGGAGTATACTACATATGAAGCTTCAGTAGCAAGAAATCCAGTAAGAAGAACCACGAACAGGACATGATTCTTGTATCCTGCTCAACGCAGCTACTATTAGAGAGAGAGAGATAGAGATAGAGAGAGAGAGAGAAGAAAGGGGGGGGGGGCTATCACGACAGCGAAACAGTGAAGAATAAACCAAAATAAAGTACAAAAATGTTCAAAACCAATAAAATGAGCAATTGGTAATGGTATAAAGGAAACCACTCCCAGACGTCTCCAATTCAACTGAAGCCACAAGCAGAAGATATATAGGATTGAACATTTACCTATGCAGTTCCCAAAAGCAGGACAATGGTGGTCGAAACCCTTAACATGTGATTTGCAGCTATTACAGTATCTTACCCGCAGAGGCAGTACAGCACCCTGAAACAGAATACAGCAAAAGGACTTCTGAATGAGCATAGATCGAACAAAATTACAAGATCAAAGAGAGAATAAAAAAGACTAGGGAGGCAACACAATAATATCAGACAGCTCTTCATGCACAAAAACACTGAAAGACTTGTTCTTTGTCTGAATGTGATTTCGCAGAGAAGTGAATTGGCACAAGATCTCTACTAGAGTTGTTTATCTAGAACAAGAAAGTGCACACCATGACCATGCTGAAATCAAGCAAATGAAAAGAGATTCCAAATCGAAAATCTGAATAGCATATGAGAGGCAACACAATAATATCAGACAGCTCTTCATGCACAAAAGCACTGAAAGACTTGTGCTTTGTCTGAATGTGATTTCGCAGAGAAGTGAATTGGCATGAGGAGGAATTTTATAATGCTATATAATATTGGTGCTATTGGTTTTTGTCTTTATGGTACAACTTGAAATTGTACATTTATGTTATGATACAACTTCAGATTGTACCTATACTTTTTGTACAAATTCTTTATGGTACAACCTAAACTTATACATTTAATGTTATGGTACAACTTCAAGTTGTACATTAAAGCACCAATACTATATAGCATAGTAGAAGTGCTCTTGGCATGAGATCTCTACTAGAGTTATTTTTCTAGAACAAGAAAGTGCACAAGCATGACCAGATTGAAATCAAGCAAAATGAAAGAGATTCCAAAATACAAAATCTTAATAACATTAGCATGCTGGACAAATGAAGTAAAGCTGAAATAGAGAATATAAACTGTCTCGGCAAATCATAAACACATTCACTTCCAACATCTTGCTAAACTGGGTCGTTACTAATTACTAATGTGAGTTCATTTCAAAAGGCTAACTCCTTCAATTACTACCTCATCATGAACTTCAGTCGCAAGAACTTCAGTTTCGACAAGCTCAGCAGCTGTCCCAGGAAACCCATTACTCACGAAACCAGGATCGCTTGACAGAATTCTGCCCACCAAGATGAAAAGCACTCCAGTCATTTCATATCAAACTAGTACTGAAAGGGTACCATTACCAATCACAGTGGGAAGATTCAGGATTGACAACCTAAATAAGCCAATGAAAAGCAGAGCAATCTCTCCGTTGAAAGTAACATCAACCAGACATGGAACAGCTGCGGCAAAGAAAAGAAAGAAAGAAAAACGTAGTCCGCTCAATTTCAGCCAGAAGTTCGAAGGAAATCATTTTGTTGAATCACAGGCCAAATGAAACGAACAATCACCAGGTCGAACAGCAACAAAGTAAACTCCCCAAACGAAGAGCGTATTGAAGAGAACTAGAGCAGGAGCCGACGCGGAGACGCCGAGAAGCCGCCTACAACATCTCCCGAAACCGACAACCAACAGCAGAACTACGACTAAGGAACCCCCAAAAGATTCATTCAGAACCCTGGAGTCAAATAGCCCTCGAACGAGGAGAAATTTGCAGACGGAGAATGAGGCTTGGAGTACCTGAGAGCAATAGCTGGAGGAGAAGGGAGGATGCCGGGAGCAAACGAGGGACCAGAGCGAGTGCGAACTGAGTGATTATGACGAGGACGAAAGAAACCATGTAGCGGCCAGCTGATTGGAAGCAAACTACCCAGAGTTTCCCCGGCCGACCGTATAAACGCAGCATCTTCTCCCCCACCTTCAAAACAATTTTGACTCGGAACGCTCGACCAAGAACTCACCGCCGCCGTCGATGCCCCAGCCCCCAGGTCCGTTTACTCGTTCAACCGTTTGTCATTTTGATTTTGATTTTGATTTTGATTTTTTTTTTTTTTTTTTTTTGCCGGTCAGCCGTCGGTCCATTGTTAACGTGCCGGAATTTGATTATTATCAAGCTGGTTAGGAAGATGAGCCAATAACTAGGCCCAACAGCTCGTGGCCCTGGCCTGGAATAATAATAGTTAGGGTTGGAGTGGGTGGTTTTCAGGTCACTCCAACGATCTGCTGCACTATATATTTTTAGGATCATTATGTTTTCTAATCATCCTACTTCCTACACACTTAATCATCAATTCTAAAACTAAAAACAAATATTGTTGGACTACTGCTATGCCTATTAATTAATAATTATTATATGTGGTGAACTCCCTTGGATTCCAAATAGGAATGACAATGGAGTGGGTTTGGCTAAATCATTCTCAATCTTCATTTTCAAATATCCAACCCATACACGTCCTATACCCATGGGGGAAATGTTTTGCAAACCCATCTCCATACTCGTGGGTTTCGGGTACCTATGTATAATACCTGCCATGTACATCCAACATTAGGACTTTGCTACAGTGACATGGACTTTTCGGTCGACCTAATCCTAAAGGAGGTCGACCGTCTATATAAAATGGTCGACCTCTTTGGTGGTCGAACATAATGAAAGGTCGACCCAAATACCTCATAGGCCGACCCTTGTGCACCTAATAAGTCGACCCCATGCACACCGTATCCGTATTGGATAATGATTCCAACACCAGAAGGTTCCACAATTGGACAAGAAAACGAATTGGGTCGACCCATTCACGTCCTAAAGCTGTATAAATACGAAAATAAGTCCCCTTCAACGCCACCAAAAGTATGAATTAGGTTTTTTCTGATTTAGAGCCTTTGTGAAGAAGATCGTTCGCGGTTGCTATTGTACGTGTTGAAAGTGGTCGACCACGTCGAAGGTGAGGTCGACCTAATGTAGCATTCGCCGTCATATTCTCTAATGCATGATTTACAACGTCTAATTTGATATATTTTTGCGTGCAGAATACCATTCAGTCGACCTTTATCTCAACCAGGTCGACCTGACGAGACAATTGTTCGAAATTGAATTTAGGGCACAACACTTGGACTTACATACTTGCGAGGTAACGAAGATCAACCCAATAGGTCGACCTAATGTGTTTCAAGGTCGACCGTTTCTGTTTGTTTTGGTTGTTCAACCTGAATGTCGACTCTGGCTTTGTTTGTAAGACTATGTTGTGCTTCAAAAGGTCGGTCGCTCAAGCTATCTGGTCGACCTATCCGTTTTTTGGTTTAATATTACACTTGCTTTTGTTTGTGAATTGTTATTTTCCTGCTGGATAGGTCGACCTAGGAAGATCAGAGGTCGACCTTAAAGGTTCTGGTAGTCACAATTTGTCTTCCAGTTCGACCTAATAATTTGTCAGGTCGACCACGTCTCTGTTTTTGGTCAATTGTAGAAATTTGAAGTTGAATTATGATTTGAATTTTTCTTTAAATTGTTTAGACGATGATGCATGATGAGAGACTACATCACGATTTGGGTGAACTCATGAAAGTGTTGAAAGCCACACAAGAGAAGCTGGTGGTGTCTCAAAAACAAGTCAATGACTATCAGAAGTCCATTCGTGATAGAGTGGAGCAATTGTCAGTTCGATTAACAGATATAACTGGGATGATGCATGATGGTTTTGAGAGGCTAGAAGGTGCTATCAAAGAAATAAGTGCAGAACGAATGGAGAATGGAGGAAGAGATGGTACATGAAAGAAATTTGACTTTGATAAAGAGGAGGAAGACCATGATGACTCTGCAAATTGCTACCAGAGCATAGACGATTTATTGAAAGAGCACAATTTAAAGGTAGACAAATATATTCATATGTGATTGAAGATATTAGTATTACTATCAGTAGTGCTAATTTGTTTTGTTTATATGTTTGACAGAGTGAAACAATGTATGGCAGCAAGGGTTCCTCTCCTAAGTACAAGAGACCTCGATATGAAAGTGACTCCTACACCACTCCACAGAAAGATCATTTTGTAAGAAAAGGATTATTTAGTGCTGATAGCGACGAAGATGAATCTAAGAGTCCTTTCAAAAATCACAGAGTAAGTTTACGTTACATATTCATCTATAATGTGTGTTTGTGTTCATATGTTACTTTAATTTTAACTATGATTTGTAGGTCATGAAAGTGGAGGGCCTAGAAGGATTCACCAAAAATCTTCAAAATCCAGTTGAAGACTTGTATTATGTTGTTACTAAAGAGAAGGTTGGGGACGCGAATTGGGACAAGTAAGAGACGTTTTTTTAGTACGTGTGGTCGACCGTTTAGTTCATGAGGTTGACCTTGACTGTGAACAGGTCGACCTGTACGTTGCAAATCACAATTGACATTTCTGTTATTTTGATTTTTGCAGTTTGACCGTTGTTGACTTTTTTATGAAAACGTGTAACGAAATTATTTGAGTTCGGTCATTAGCGAGAGTAGCTGGATTTGCTCATCCGTAAGTACTATACTGCTACGACTTTCGTATGAATTGTGCACTATTTATGTTACGATTTACGAGGATTTTGTGTTTTGATTGTTGGTTGGTAGGTGGTGGATTTGTGTGCAAGGGCACTAACAAAGTCGGAAAAACATTATGTGAAAGAGCCAAATGTATGGTATTTTCCAAATATGTTTTCGGTAAGAGCCGTAATGTTAAATTATTTGTCAAAACCTAGTTATTTATATTATACCATGTCAATTCATCTCAATTAAAACATGATACAAAAAATGGTACGCGCTAACATGAAGACCGGACCAATTCGTAACAAGTTGATGGATGATGGCGTGGTGTTTGTGCCGAATGTTAGTGCATGCCAGAAGGTTAGTCAATGTCCCTATCTCATTAAATTTCGAAAGTGTATTTGTTTGTATTCGCTTTTTATAACATATAGTGAGTGTTTCGTTGCTAGATATTTATGTCAGTTCTTGACGATGAAGCACGTCATTGGTTTCTGTATCTCGTCAATATCCAGCAAAAAACTGCATTTTTGCTTGACAGTCTACCTTCAACTAGTGAGGCGAATCGTAAGCGTAAATCAGCACTATGCAAGAAATTGGTAAGTGTTTCCTATAATTGTCTGACTACTAAGCGTAACGTATTATGCTAGAAGCATAAAATATTCGTTATTTGTGTGTAGTTGTCCAAATTGGATGATATTTTCAAACTGGAGCGCATGGGCAATGTAGCAGTACCAAATTTTGGAGATTTCAATTTTGAAGAGCTACGAGTTCAAGGGCTAAGGAATAGTATCAAGTGTGGTGTGCACGTCATGCAGTGGATGCGCTATGGATCCAAGGATCTGGATAGAGTGGTGAGTATATCGTCTAACAAATAACTTGTTTAATTTGTACTTTTTTTAGTTCTAACAAAGTCTTACATACCATAATGCATATAGGAGAAGAACAAAGATTACCGGCTCGAAAGGAGATTCTATGGTATCTGGCTACACATTCTGAAAACCGTGCACGAGAAAATATTTTCAAGCATATAGTAGATGAATGCATGGAACGAGGGAAAGAGTTCAAACAAAAAAGAAAAAAAATGAAGTCATTAAGTTACAATGTTGCATTATTTAGACAATACGTTGAATTTGTATTTGCGAGGTTGTTGCCTTTTAGGTTTTGAATGTTTATCAATTATTAGATTTGTTATACAATTATGGATGTCAAGGAATTTACGATTTCAATCGTCTAGAACAAGTGGTCGACCACATACTCAAAGCAGTCAAACCTGTAAGCAGAGCACAGGTCGACCTCGTGACGCTTAAGGCCGACCTATGATACCGTAGCAAAGTCCAAAATAATGTGGAATAAGGATGGAGTCCCGTGTGTTTCGCCTTAATAAAAAATGGTCGACCATTCGTGTAAAGAGGTCGACCTGTTTCGCATTTATCAAAAACGGTCGACCATTCGTGTAAAGAGGTCGACCTAAATGGGCTGAATTAGCTTTTTACTTACTTCTCCTTGTCCAATTAGGATTTTGCGTACTTGTCCTTGTTGAATTATGATTTTATATATCCTTCACCAATTGGGATAAGTGTTCCCCATACCAGTGAGGATAAGGAATTCGTCTACATTCTCTATAAATAGATAGAAGTCGAAAGACTTTATTCATACTTCAATTTATGCAATTTGTTGGAGTGAAGTTGTAATCTCATCGCTTTTATTGTGATCGTGTGTTGGTGGCGGTTTATTCTTATTCCAGTAGACCGTATCAATAATTGGTCGACCGTGTCTGCTAAGGTGTGTGTCGTGTGTGCTGTTAAAGGTTCTTTGTGGTTCACTTTTTCCCTAATTAGGTCGACCACCTCAACCTTTCGGTCGACCGTATCTGTGTAATTATAAGATAAGGTCGTCCATACAGTGGATCCTGGTCAACCTCATCTATGTAATTTGGTGATAAGGTCGATCATACAGTTGATTCAGGTCGACCTGACGAGAGCTAATTTTGTATGTATTTGACATTCAATTCGTATTCCGATCGTTGCAGGAGGATAATAGAGATGATACAGATGATAGAAATGTTGACGAGATTAACTTCGATGAGGAACCTAAGGAGGCTCGAGGAGGATCTATGGATAATCCAGATGATACAGATGATGAAGTGATTGGGGATGATAAGGAAACGAAGGGTGTTGAAGAAGAATTTATGGATGATGAAGAAGCTACTGAATATGAACAACAAATTCCTTCCATGGAGTTCCAAACATTAGAAGATGCAGAGAAATTTTATGATGTCTATGCTAAAGCGAAAGGGTTTAGCGTTCGACGTAGAGATCTTCGGAGGAGTTGTCGAGGAGTAGCAATTGGGAGGACAATGGTATGTTCGAGATAGGGGAATAGACAGAAGATGCATATAGATAAAGAAGGTCGGACACGACAACATCGTAAGATGACAAGACATTTTTGCAAGGCATCGTATACTATACGCTTTGATCAGAATAAAAAAATGTGGGTTGTTTCTAAGTTCGAGAGGAAGCGCTCACATCTTTGCTGCAATGATGAAGAAACTCAATTCCTTCGGTCTCATCGAAATGTGAGTGAAGGAGACAAGGCTCTGGCGATAGGGATGCAACAGTCAGAAAT